TTAAACCATTGCACATCCAAGAAATAATTGGAACTAAAATTATTATTAAATTATGAATTTCTTTTTTTTTTCCGGGGAATTCCTACTTCTATCTTAATAAAGGGCTATACCTTGACCTCTCCGTATTATTTTCGGTACAAAACAATTCTATCGATTACGAAATCAATTGCTAAACATATTTTAGTAAGACACAGCTACTAGTTATGATTTCTGTTTTAATTTTAACTTTTGTCTCTAAAGAACCTATATTTCATTGCCATTTCCGAACGAGGAAGATTTCTTTCAGATTAATTACAAAATCAAATGCGGAACATACTTTAGTAAATAATACCCCTCACTTTGGAATTTTCTTCTTTGTTTCTAAGAAAATAATATTCTAATTCATTTTTAACCTGCAAATTTTGCAATTCTACTTATTGTATAATTAGTAACTAGTTTCAGAAGCAAATAACACGGAAAAATTAATGAGAGAAAAAAAAAATCGCATTTCAAACAAAGCTTTTAAGCAACCCGAAATCAAGCTTCTCCCACTTCAAAATCGTTTAAGGAGTCCATCCAACTGACGAGCTTTATCATGTCGTAAAAATTCTTCTCTGCGCAGATTCTGTCCCCAAATATGTCACATTAAACACATCTCCACCCCTCTCGGAACATTACCACCAAACTTTCAATGATATCAGCGGGGAGATTGAAAAAGATGCCGGCAAATTGCTAGCGGGAGTCCGATGCGATCTTTTACACTTTACCCTGCATGATCGCCGCTCTTTAATATCGTTTAGCTCTTCTTTTTTTTTCTTCTTTCTTTTTCTCTCTTCTTTCTTTCATTTTCGTAAAGAGCATAAATTGCATTTTTAAAAGAATATCCCTTTTCGTGTTGTAAATAATCCTCTACACAAGGCTTTTTGGAAAGTTGTTTAATATTTCGTGACGAAGTAATAAAAAAAAAAAGCGGATAAAATGTCTTTAAAGTATTTCTAGAATGCTGTTTTATTTTGGTTAGTTTCATTCTCTCTTTTTCTTCAGTTATCATTGTTATGTGAGTAAGAATTGTTTTGAAGTGGCTAATGAAGGATATTTAGGCAAAAATAAATATTTTTTTAAAGATATAATGTTACATTTCTGTTACTATTTTTAAAAATAAAATAAAATTTTAAATATTTATCTTTGAAAAGTTTATTCTTCCTTTTTGTTTCAAACATCATAGAGTTATGTTAGTAAGAATTGCTTTGAAGAATGCTACGTCATTTATAAAAGGTATTGTGTCATTTTAAAGGTCTCAAAATAAGCATTTTTTTCTAAAAAAGATATAATGTTACTATTCTTTATTAATTCCTATTTTTAAATTTTAATTTTGAATATTTATTTTTGAGAAGTTTATTCTTTCTTTTCGTTTCAAACATCATATAGCAGCGTTAGTTAGAATTGCTTTTGTAATTATGATGATGTAATTATATTATTATGATGTTTTGTTGATGATATATTTAAGTCAAAACAAATATTATTTTTACAGATATAGCATATTTTTTTAAATATTTTTTTTTTAAAAAATTAAAATTTTAAACTCTATTTTTGTGAAGTTAATATTTTTGCAGAACTTCAAGAAAATTATTTTAGTTAGTTTTCTCAATATTTTTCAAAACTAATAACTTAAAGAAAAATGTCTTTGAAATTTATCAGTTTTGTAGCATACTTGTGATACAAGCACAAAGTAGTGCATTAAAGTTCAAGAGCTAGAAATAGTAATCATTTATTTAATAAAATGAATTAAAGAAATATCATTTACTATTTATATTATTTAATGTATTTATTGATTTTATAATTATTACAAATTGGGCTAATGCATTCATTTATTAAATTTAAAACTACGGCAACTACAAATAATTCCAATTAAGGTAATCTGAGTTCGATATATATATATATGTATCTTTTATGTTAAACTACTGAAAATGGGGAGAATTTCTTCTTCCTCTTTCTTCAATTGAAATTTACGGCCCCTACAAATAATTCCAATTAAAGTAATCGAAGCTTAATACATGTGTCTTTCAAATCAAAGTCGTTCAAATGTTTTGAAAATGGTACAGTAAAATTCAAGAGCTATAAGTTGCATTAATATATTTAGCGAAATAAATTAAAGAAATACTATTTATGAAATTTATTATTTAATATATTTATTAATTTTAAAATTAATACATATTGTGTTTGTGTATTTTTCATAAATTGAAATTTACGGCCCCTCACATAAAGACAATTAAACTAATCACATAATTGATATAAGTGTCCTCTAAGTTCAATTATAAATTTCATTCAAAAGTTTCCTTATTAACGCATAATTTATTGTTTCTTTTTCAAAGATAATGAGACTCTTTCTTATTAGAATCAGGATTTATATGTGTGCCAATCAATTTTGCTTTCAACACTTACCTCTGTATATTTATGTGTGTGTGTTTCATTTGTTAATTATGATTCCGTTATCAGCAACAATCATGATCTAATTGAAGAGATCTTTTTGAAGTAAATATCAGCCAATCATAAATTAATTAATCTTGACAAATTTGATCGAGTTCAATCATCACAAATATGTTTACATCTTTCAAGGACGTATGATAAGATATCTGATGTCGAAGGAATGTCCTCATTCTAATTACGGAAAAGGATAATCGATATTCAAATTAACGTTATTTATGAAAGATACCGAACTTTTTAAGTTTAGGCGTCTTAATGATAAAGTTTAAGTTACGTTACAGCTTCAAAGTTTAAGAAAACTTATCGAAATAAATACTTATTTAGAAACAGCATAAAATTACATGGGATGAGAAATAAACACAAAATTTGGATTACTTAGGGGATTTAATTAATATAAGTTCCGTTCGTTTAATAACGTTTAAAAAAAATAATCAAACATATTGTTCATTAAAGAATCGGATGATACAAAACAGGGTAATTATGTTTTTTCAGTTTGGATTTATAATCATTGTTTCTTTTTATCTATTGAGGTTTTAATTCGAAATACTGATTGGAGTTAGTTATTTACTTACTCCTAAAATGTACGGAATTTAGAAAAGATTTTTTTAAAATTATGGTTACAAACCTTGCAACAATAATTTAATACTTTAAAACTTAATTTTGAGGAAACTACTTTTCCTTACTTCGACAATTGAGAAAAAAATATTTTTTTTGTTAAAATCTGTCATGCTATTGGAAAATTCTGGTAAAAATAAATATATATATGTACTCACATGCGTAGAAAAAATTGAAAATACAGAAAAATTATCGTCATTTATGTTGAATGAATGTTGCTGTTGTAAAACTGAACTCGACTATGGTGGAAAATTGTTCGTTTTTGTGCATTGCGAAGTATTAAAATAAAATACTAACAGAAAAAAAATGTTGTTTAAAATAATGGGGGAAAAAGCGTGTAGGAAAGGTATGAAATTTTCAGAAGTTAATGAAGGTAAAATAGCAAAAACAAAAGCACCGTGAATCTGTGAGGAACATGTAAATGTTTGTCTATAATGATTCTCTACCTCATTCAAGAATAAATGTTAACAACCTGCATAAAAAATTATATATTTCAAACTTTTTGGTTTTCTTCTAATGCTTCAAGCTGTTTTTTATCAATTAATTCATATGAAGTATAACACTCCTCTTTCATAACTATATGTCCACCTCTTATTTTTAAATATTTTATATTAAAAATCAGCTTTTTTAAATTAATGATAATATTTACTCCTCTATTAGTTTTACCTCGAATATTTTAACTTTCGAAGTTTCCGTATTCATGTTATATTATGTATTTTTCGTCTGCGTCTAAGACTGATATTAATTCTAAATACATTTTTTTAATTTTAAATATGAAGTAGACTTTTCTTACAGAAAGAATGAACGAAGATAATGAAGCTCGATGAATATCAACCAAGTGCTATATTTCAAAAGAGATCGTAGCTTGTATTTTCATTATGTTTAATGTATTTATTAATGCTTTAATTACTCTTATATTAAGGATAAACATGAACGAATATATAAGTAAAATGGATTTACTAATTGAAGAACTACAGTAATGTATTGCATAGAACAGTGAAACTAATTGTTTGTAAAATGCTTAATAACAATGTAATTATCTCATACCACTTCAGTTTGTGTAATCAGTAACCAATAAAATATTGATTGTAATATATTGAGCACAGAAATATGCAAATACAATTGAAAATAATATTACATTTACTTTTTTTATCTAAGAAAATTAAACGATTAAAAAAGTTATGTTTTGGTAAAATTTTGAAATTTCTTAAAAATAATTATTTAAGATTTTATTTTTAGGAAAAAATTTAACCCACTTTTGCCCCTTTTCATATAAATTTCTTTGAGAATGCAGAGTCGAATTATGCATTTAAATTATTTTGAAAAAGTACATAAAAAAAGTAAGTTGTGGGCTCTTAATAATTACATTGAAAGGGAAAAAAAAAACCTTAAATTATAAAGCTTTTGCTTTAATAAGAGTATTAAAAATAAATAACATGATATTTTGCTAATGAACATTTATTTAAGTTGTATATTATTGCGTCCGTAACAAAACTTAGCAAAAAAACAAAACAAAGAAAAGCTTTAATTGGTCACTTTTTAAAAGTGATCAACTTTAATAATGGATTTGTTGTTTTTGCAATGGTAAACAAAGTAAAATTGGATCTTATCAGTTTATCAATGAATTTAAATTTTTCGATTTAAATTAAATTAGGGATTTTATTGCTTATTTTCCCCTTTGTAAGAAGATTGTTTTGATTTGTTGTGCAAAATGAAATCCTTATCGATAATTTTAATTCTGATTGAACTTAAAATTTAAATTATAAGAACTCAGAAAAAAAAACTTTTGCCTGTGCGTTCTAACAAACATAAATTAAACAATATCAAATATCAATAAAGGAATAAGGCCTATTTTATGTTACCCAAAAGTAAATTTGTAAATGATAATAGAAATTTAAATAAAGCAATTAAAACATAATTACCTGAGCTTGCACGTGCGCTGTACCTCGTGCAAAACACCTGAGAAGAAAGGGATATCTATTAGACATATCATTTAAACTGAATTGTTATTGAAAAATAAAGGGTAAAATGATATCTATTAGATATCTCAAATAAACGGAATCGTTGTTGAACAATATGAAATTAAGGAATATTTATCAAATAACTCATCTCAATTAAAAAAAGGAAAGGTATGTCGATTAGATATCTCATTTAAACAGAATCTTTATTTAATAGCTTATGTTTATGTTAAACAGGGTATAAACCTCATTATCTAAATTTTTTAAAAAATCTAATGTCTAATAATATCTTACCCTAAGAGAGTGATTTCTTATGAAATGAAATAAAGCCTTTGTTCATTTTAATATAAATATACTTAAACTAAGAAATATAATTTACTTGATAATGAATAAGCTATTAATAAAACCCGAGGAAATTCTAAACACCAAGAAATATTTTTTCATGCTACATTGTACTATTATAATAAATTTCGTCATGTAATGTAATTATTTCTATTTATAACAATTACTTTTTAGATACTTTAATGTTGTAGGTAATATGACTACAGCGTTAATTAAACTAAGAGTCAATTGTTTATGTAAAAAGAACGATAGTATCTGAATTGAAATCTCAAAATTTAAATTTTTTAAAGTTCAAATTATTATTATTAATCTTTCCGAAAAATAAGTATAATTTAGAAGAACTGAATGGAAATTTATTTTATTTCGTAACGTTTTTCCAAATGTCATTAAATGTTTCGAAATACGCTTAACAAAATATGTTATAAACTTCGAAATAACGAAGAGAACAATATAAAAAAAAACATTTGAAGAATTACAAAGCATTGTAAGAATTAAAATTTGAAAGTTTCATAAGTTATTGAAATAAGACTAATTTAAAAATATCCCGGTGTGTCTATTGTGTTTTTGAATCTTTTTCATATTTTGGGCGATTAACTTGATTGAACTAAATATAATAATTTAAGTGCAATACATTAATGATAAATAAATTTGCTATCAATAAACACCTCTTCTACACTAATTATTAAAAAAAGTGCTTTTTTTGCCTGTTTGATTTATCATATTGAATCAAAGAAATATTTCAAATACAATTTTTTTTCGTATTTTATGCTAAAGTTCATGAAACAAATATGTAATTTTAAGGCAAATTAGATTACTCTTCCGTAAAATAAACTTAATTAAAAAGTTGAAAAAAGAAAATTCAATTACCATGTTTTATTACGATTTCATCAAGAAAACTATAAAGTAGCAATGATATAGATAAAAAGTATTCCATAGAGAAGCATGCGGACATATCATGCTGAGTGTATTTAAATATGAACAAACTTTACTTAAATAAGAAAATCCTATTTATTTTTTCTGAGTCTAAAAAGTTTAGAATTTGAAATAATTTATGTGTAGTTAATTTTAAGAAGAAAAAAAAAACACAGTTAAGAAAATTTTATGGTTTTGAAAACTGTTATTAAATGAAAATTATAAAGCAAATTAACCTTAATTATCATAAACTTAATTGAAATTACACGATATATGTTTCAATAGTTTTTAAAAAAAATATTTGAAAAAAAAATCTAGGTTTAATATCATCAATATTGCTTTTACATAAATTTTAAAATGAAACAATTCAACGAATATTTTTTTAAATGCTTTTGTATTGTCTTGTAAAAGTAGACTAACAAATAATTCTAGCTTAATATGCTTATTATAAAACATGAATGTTTCACATAGAAACGGTAAATGAAACATGTACTAAATCAACATGAAACATGTACCAAATACTAAAACTTGGTTTGTTAATCATCAGTTTTTAATTACAGCCTTGAACTATCTATTTGACCTAACACAAACTAATTTAGTTAATTAAAAATATAAAGCAGCTTCCTGAACGGTTTTACTCAACTATTAATCATGAGATAGCTTTGAGTTAGGAACCAACATTTGAATTTTCTAAGTTGATTAATAAACTTACAAAAACATACATCGTTAGAAACTTTTAGATCGTATTGAACCGCAATATCGGTCAAATTAACTCAGCCTTAATATGTTTATAAGCTGAATTGCATCCTCACTCTTCTTAACTTGCTTACATAATAGCATGGTTTAGCTTGAATTGAAGAATGATTTAATTTAAAAACAAATTTAAGTTGCATTAAGCTTGCACCATAATATGGTGCAAAGCAGCGATTTTGTGGTTCAATTTTGAAATTTCGAAGTTCAATTTTGAAGAAGTGTACTCACAACAATTCAAAGCCAATTTTTGAGCAAACACAGGCACTGGTTAAGGATCTTAAATGGCGTAATAATAATAATAACAACATTAAAATTAGTTAATGATATAAATGATTTAGTTTAATTAATGTATCATGATTTTAACTAAGAAATCATAATATAATATATTAAAAGGCAAGAATAGTTGTATCCTAATTTTAACTAAGAATACACGCGCTAACATAGTATTCAGTACAAACATATAACTCGGCGCTGAACTATTGCCTACTGTGAGCATGGTGCAAATTAACTGTAATCTAAATTAGGTCTAAAATTAAACCATATGTCAGTTGCTCAAGTTGCGCTATAGATTCGTATAAGCAAGTTTAAGGAGTATAATAATGTAACTCAAATTATCACCATATTAAAATTTTGACAAATTTCCATGAAGGTATGACACCGTCCACCAGTGCATAAAATAAATAAACAGAAAAATAAATAAATAAAAAAAAATTGCTATCTAAAATAAATAATATGTTGCATTTGAACTTGGATTATTTCTAGTCTTATGGGGAGGTTTATGTAAGAGTAATTAAGCATACTTAATCGAGGAGACTTATAATCCAAATAATCAGGAATTATTTTTTAAAATAAAATACATAAACAATGAATTCAAAAAAAATCGCACTAACCCAAACAGGTAGTGAATTCTTTTTTAAATCGTCTGAGGGACTCATAGGTGTTATATCTCTCGAGTTCTCATTGGTATCATGTCCTTTTGGATAATTTAGTGTCCTCTCCCTCTTGCCAAAATCTGGAGAGAGTATTTTTTCTATAGAAAACGCCAGAGTTTGTGTGGCCGGCTGAACCCTTTGTCCGGTGTGGGCCGGTGACGGTGCGGAACTTTCTGTTTCAAGTTCTAACGCCATTTCAGGCAATGTCCAGCAGAACACACACCAAATAGAACAAACACACTATTCTAAAAACACTAGCACATTCCGCACTCCATACTCCAAGGTTAAATGTTTGTGTATCAAAACACACCCTCTCAACACACTTCAAAACAACTTCTCGATGCTGGAAGCAAGAACTCAAGTTTTGTAGTCTTTTGGACGTTTCTTAGCGGCCCTCTACAGTTATGGGGTCTTCCTGCCGGCGTCACTTTGGTCCGCCTCTCTTACTCTCCCCACGTGGAGATTGACCAATGAAATGAGAGTTAGGAGGCGGAGTTTTCGTAGCTTTTATTAAAATGTCAGCGTGCGCCGGTGGGTGGAGATTGAAAAAGAGCTGCGGCGATTTTACGTCCGGGGATATTTCAATCGCTTGCTCGCTGATGAGATAATTTCGACAAAGAACACATTTTGATTTTTTTTATTTTTATTCTGTTCTTGGTGATCGTGTCATCTTGTCAAAAATTGACTTTATCGATAAATACTTTTTTTTAGGAGCCTTGTGTTAGGATCATTTTTTAACGAAAACTTAGCTAAATTTTATTGCACAAAAACGAAACAAATTATAAAAAAAAAAACAATAGAGGAACGTGTGTAGATTTTTTTCTTAATTTGCTGCTAGAACGAACAAAATTTGATGTAATTGAAAATACTATGATTTATTAGTAATTTGTTTTTGTTTTCAAAGTATTTAAATTCTTATTTCTTTTTTTCTCTTTTCCTTTTTATTTTTTTAAACTATGAAGAAAAAAAAAACTATCAATAAAATGAACAAATTTTGAATTTTTTTTATCCCCTTTGAAGATTGTGGTACCTTCTAAAAAATTGAATTTATCTAAAAATCCTTTTTCTTTTTTTTAATTATTATATATTATTTCTTTCGATGTTGTTCAAGTGCTTTTTTCAAGCATATATTAAATCTGTTAATTTTAGAAAAAAAAATTTTTTAAATTCTTTTTTTTTAATATTAGAATACATGAATTATAGAAAACAAAAGACAAATTTAGTTTTTTTCCCCTTTTTGTGAAGGTGTCTACTTGTCGAGAATTGATTTTATCGAGGAATACTATTTTTTGTTACTACGTTTTATTAATGAAGATAATTTTAGGTTTTACATCATTTTTGAAATATTACAGTTGTTATTTCTTTCGTTTCTCTCCATGAAAAAAATTGATGATTATATTTTTATCATGAAATATTATTATTGAAAAGCATGTTCGGAAGTTTGGTTTTATTTTTCAAATATATCTTTAAATTGCTTTTTTTTTCAGAAAAGAAATAATTATAAAACGAAAATGTATGAATTTTTTACTCGATGATCATGTAAAAATTGATAAACGCTATCTTTTATCGTTCCCCCTTATGAATTCATGTTTATTTTTTACTTTATATTTTATTTTTTATTTCCTTTATTTCATTTTAGGAAATTGAATTCCAAAAAAAAAAAAAACATTTTAAATTGTTTTTGAAAACAAAAGTATAATTTTGTTTGTTTGAATTCATTATTGTAATTTTTTTTTTAAGTGGAACAAAAAGTAAACAGACCTTTTTATTTAAATTATATATTCCCTCATTTTGTATAAAGTTTTCTTTAATGACAAATAATATTTTTATTGCATTATTATCATTTAATCTCTAATTAAATTCATTCATAAATTTTTCCTTTCAAATTACCTTTTTTTTTGTTACCTTTCGTATTCTACAATTATTTTAGAAAAAATGCATAATTTTTTCTTTTTAGACGTATTTCTTTTATTCAAAATTCAATAAATAAATCTAAATGAGTTGTAAAAATATTCTCTATAAAATATATTTATTCTTAATTCTTTAATTTCTTCATCTGAATCTAATAACTTTTAAGATAATTTTTGTTTTTCTAAGCTGAACTTAGCAATCAGAGTTGTTTAAGCATTTTTAAATTTTTTTATTTATTTATTATTATTTTTTTGCTAAAAGAGCGATTAACAGAAAATTAAAATTTTAATGATGTATGAAGGTGAAATTTTGGTGAAATTTTCTCGAGCTATTATATTACTAGAGATTTGAAAAACTTAATTTCATTAATTATTAACAAAAATTGGGTATTATAAAGTAATTTCTTTCCGCAAATAAAAAAAGCAAAATTTGTAACATTCTTTTACAACTTTCATTATTTTGCTACAAAAGCATAGAAATTCGGGAAAACTTTTTATTCATATTTTACAGGAAAAGAACGAAGTTTAAAAAAAATAAAAAATAATAATAACCGAAAGAGCTGCTACACATAATATGTTTTCTTATTCAACGAAAAAATGAAAAAAGTCTTGCTTTATTGAAAAAAAATTTAAAACGAGCTAATTTAATTTTAAAAGTGTATTTTAAGAGATAAAATATTTAATTTGTCAATTAAAATTATTTTTTACGGATTACGTATTTTAAAACAATTATTTTAATTGTATACTTATCAATTTCAGGAAATTATTATTGTTATAGTTTATTTCATGCATTTTTCATGGTTTATTTTATTTAATACCTATAATGTAAATTTTAAACATGAAGGAAAGTTTTTCTTCTATAAGAAAGAAAGCTATTATTTAAAATATAATGAATATTCAGTATTCTAAAAAATTATGTTAAAATTCAACACCGTGCACATAATTAATACATTTTACATAGTTAAACATACTAAGTGTATTAATGTTTTTCTTGCTTAAAAATTAGTCAATGAAAATTAAATGATTTTAGAAATTATAAATAGAAATTCTGCCTATTGGAGACAAAATCTGCTTGTTTGATACAGACAGCAACATGGGAGTTCTTTGTTGAAATGCGAGCACTAGCAATTTAGAATGAAATTAATCAAACAAAAATAAATATGAAGTGAAAAAGGGAATTCTTAAATTAAAAATTTATACAAATTACACTTTTAACAAATTTTCATAAGAATTGATACTTTTAATATACTTTTACGAAAATTAATACTTTTATGGTATTTAATACTTTTAATAAACTTTTACATTAATACATTGATAACTATTTCTAGATAGAACATTTCGGATGAACCCTAAAATCGCCGCCCAAGCTTAGTGCGTAATTCCCTCTTCAAACAATTATTTTTATTAAATTATTATTATTAAATTATTATTATTATTATAATTATTGTTTTTATTTTATTTTTTAACCGTATTTGAACACCCGACAGAGTTTTCAGTTTAAGGCTACCAATGTTCAACTCCGTAGCCTTCTAATTTTGACCCCAATCCAGAAGACTAGGGAACGCCTTTGTCAAGAATTGGGAGAGATTTTCCTTCGTGCAAGACTTTTTTCGATGGAACTAATCCGCACTTGCTTTACATGGAGAGGGAAACCACGAAAAACTGCACTGTTAGTCTCACGGCAGGGGGACTCTGACCCATGATTTGTCTACCACTGAGGAAAAAGTATAGAAAAAGTGAATTTACACAAACCTAGAGTAAGTTTTGGAAGTTCAAATACTGAAAAGAAAATTTTAAAATATCAAAATGAAAATAAATTACGAGAAGTTAACTTAGGATTACAGAATGGGAAAGCTCTCACTCAATAATTTGTTTGCATTTTGATGTTTCCAATTTTTTTCTTCTTTCTAGCTAGCAATTGAAACTTAATGGTTTTGTAAGGTTTGCCTGAACTCACTTTAAATTTTATAATAGTAATAGAGGTGAAAGAGAATTTGCGGCGTAAAGTTTCTCCCGAGGTATGGCGTCCTCTTAACTCATTACACGGAGAGGAAATACTCGACTAATTTTAACAAAGCTGTGCTTAATAAGATTTATGCTTAGCATCAATAAAAATTACGAAACGAACAGAAAAATTGGTAAAGACGCAACTTTTTGAGACACTAATGAGACCTTTTGAGACTTAATTTTGAGACATTTTGAGACGCAAAGGCACACTTTACAAAAAATTCCTCATACGTGAAAAATGCATTGAAAATAATATGCTGGTTTCGGATTGCCATTTTTTGATAAACAGCAGAGACTACGATTTTTAACTTCAACAAAAAGGATTCAAGATGTTTTTATTTATTCTGGGAAAAGTGGTCTGAATAATGTCTTCGAAATTTCTTCTATTGCGGTCGCTATATTGCTTTGTTTGTTTTGTTGTTAATTTACGTCACACTAGAGCTGCACAATGAGCTATTGGCGACGGTCTGGGAAACATCCCTGAGGATGATCCGAAGACATGCCATCACAATTTTGATCCTCTGCAGAGGGGATGGCACACCCGCTTCGGTGATTGCCCGACGACCTGCACGCGAAGTCGAGCACTTTACGGTAGTACAGTTTAACGAGGACCAATACCGCACACCCTCGGTCCCTATGCAGACTGATCCAAGTGGTCATCCACCCGCACACTGATCGGAGCCAGTAATGCTTGATTTCGGTGATCTGCTGGTTCAGAGTGGATGTTCTAATGGGCATTAAAATAAAATTGTGTCTATGAAATAGCATCCATGGTCTTAATAATCGAATGATTGCTGGGATAGGGTCTCTTACTGAAGAGCGTAGACAGTATATAACTTTTACTGCGATATTTTAATCTCTCAACTTCTGCATTTGCTTAATTTTGTAAGAAATAAATATTTTCTAACCATCATTAGACTTAATGCCTTCATGATAAAGAAACACATTGAACCAATGGTTCCCAATTTCTTTTGCGGCTAAGGAATCCTATATATTAGACGTACTGAAGTTAATTGAGGTAAATGCGCTCACTGTAAGCGTGCACAATTACCTCAATTGCTCCTATGTGCTACATCCTATAGAAGACTATTTTTAAAATGTTTAATTAGAGTAAAGAAGATTTTTCATCATTTTCTCATTAATAGTCTTGAATTATTGAGCAATTAAATTTGCGGTCCTTGTGCTTTATCTAGCCTAGTTATGAATTTGTTTCTGGTTTATATCCATAAGCTGAAAATGAACAATAAGCCGAATTGTGATTCGTTTTGAAATGAAAACTTAAAAGAACTGCTGTTGAAAATTGTTATCAGGGAAACATATTTCTTTATTAAAAGGTTAAGTTACTTTATTTTGACTTGAAAGGCACGTTTGGAAATACCAATGGAATATTATATATATATTTTTCTTTCATAATTTGTTTAATATATTATTATTAAAAATATTATATTTTCTTTTCAAAAATGTCGCTTCTATTTCATT